TTGAGAAATATGAATTTTAGATATATATATTATGATAGAATATTTGGATCACTAGATATGCAGTATTCACATTGTTAATATATGAACACAATACTTTAAGTTATATTCACATTTATTATAAATATTTTTTATTTTAGAATATTTTTTTATATTTTAATTTTAAAATATTTTTTTAAATACTTATATATAGACCATTATACATACAATATTATTCAAGAAAATAATAAATCTTTCTTCAAATATTTCTCCTTCTTTTCTATTTTCTACCACACATAAATCATTTGTAAAGGATGAAATGGATCAGTTCGATTTGCAACATCCAGTCAGTTCTTGCCCCTATTTGAATCTTGAAGCCACCCAACAAATGATATATATATCTTCCATGCTCATATTGCTTGATTAACCATCACACTCGACCTAAGTTTCTTAGCATTACGTCTATCAATTTCTTTGCGCTAGGTGCAACGACACAGCTAGTTAGGTTCTTAGTTCTCATCAATGTGTGTCTATCTTTTGTTGAATACTAATTACATATTGATGCAACATAAAGAATTACCACTGAAATGGGTGCAAAAGATCTCAAGGACATTAAATTAAATATCTTTTTTCTTTCTATGAGAAAGTCATGTTCAACTTATTCGTTATGGAGCAATTCCGATGCAGATTACGTCATGAAATATATAATCATAATCATAGTCACAATAGTAACTTTGATGAAACTCAATGTCACACCATAGGCAGAGAGGAGGTTTCAAGTAATTGGTCATCCAAGGTTGAAGGAGAGAGCAATGCTGCTTGGAGAACCTGATTTAAATTTTGAATTTAAGATTTTCAACTTGGGATTTCAAACTCTTGAATCACTGGATATCTTAATTTGCCTGTTTTGGTGTTTTAATTTTGTCAATGGTCACTAGTTTTTGCTGTGGTATAATAAAAGCCAAGGCTATAAGAATTTTGTGCAAGTTCCATATCAATATCAGACCATCTAATGCTTTCCACGTTATCTGTTTTCACACTTTCCTTTTTATTTCACACTTTCCTTTTTATTTCAAATCTATTAAAACTTTTCCTTTCAGTTGGACAATATTTGGAATGCAAAATAATGAAATTAGGAAGTCTTACTAATTTATTGATTAATGTTTTGCATATTAGCATAGTTTAAAATGAACAACTTATTTTTGTTTATTTTTTAAATAAAAAAGTATTATACAATTTAAATTACATTAAATTACCCAATTTAAACTATTAAATAAAGATAGATCCTCCAATATTAAGATTCTCTTTTTAACTAATAGTATATGTTTTATATTTTAGACTATTTTATAAGAAACTCATATAAACGTTTTTCTCCTCTTTTCGGTCGTAAACAATGTTAGCAAAACGGACCAAAAAAATCAAGCCCAAAGGATTAAATGGCCCAACCGTTACAACAACTTCTAAACATGGAAGTCCTTTCTCTTCTCGGCCAATAAACAAGTAAACAATCTCAAGTCCTTTAGTTATTTCCACTCCTTTCCCTTTCGCCCTCAACTTAGTCAAAAATATGAAGGGGCAATGGTTGATTTCCTTCCCAAATTTCTTTCCACTTTCAGGCAAGGATATAAAATGTTCAATTTATGGTAGTTTGAAAAAGGAAAAAAGTTTTAACAGTGAAATCAATTACAATGCCAACCATATAGTTAAGCTTCCAATGCGTGTGCTTGAATCTTGTGGGTTTCACAAGCATTCCAAGAAATGCAAAGTTTGGCCATTATGAGTAAATATTAAAGATCATTCATAAACTTAGCGACTAAATTTTAACTTTTGAACACTCTTACATACATTTTTCTAATCATATAAATCTCAAAACATGTGATTAAAAAATATATGATTCAAATAGTATTTTAGATATTATTGTAGGATATCTAAAGCATACACTTTGAAACATTATCACAAACATTTGCAGGAATCAATGAAGGTTTGCTTTGCAAAATCCAACCTGTTCCTGCCCCATTTGAGTGTTCATGCCACTAAAGAATTGATCTCTTCCATGCCCATGTTGTTTCATTAACCATCCTTCGGTGAATACTACTAACCCTTTGATGCAACATAAAGAACCAGTGAAATGACTGCAAAAAGATTGAGGACATTAAATTGAACACCTTATTAATTCCTTTCAATAAGTGGACTGCATAGCATGTTGTAACTAATACATCCCTTTCCCTTGGCCATTTCCCTTTTAAAATACTGATAACCAATGCTTGGTCCATCCAGCATTTCCAGTTCTGTGACGTTTAGTCATAGCATTGCTAAGGGTTAAGGATTTTCCTGTTGAAGAAGATATTAAAATAATTTATTTTTACTGAACTTTATTAGGCTCAAAATTATTAAAAAGAAATATTAATCAAGTTGTCTGCCCTGATTGATGATTGTCTAATCATAAACAAGCTAACTAGTCACTTTGCTTTCTAATATAAGATGCTCTGGATGTTCCATGGCACTAGCAGCAGGGTTGGCTAACTGGCTCCTCTATGGGGTAAAGCTTGTGACCCATCTGTTAGGGATATTCAGGAGATATACATTAATAGTTATTGAATCAGTTATGCAAATAGCTCTTAGATTATTACGTTAGACTGATTTAAGTTTTCTAGGTTTTTAATTAGTTCAATGGGTTACTGCTAATATAAAGGTTATCCATGTACTCATTATCATATCTCTGAATAATAAAGCATTATACCTTACTTCCAGTTTCCCTACTCGCATTCACATTCTTTAATTTCTGCTATACTGTGTTCAAGTGTGAAAATAATGTTATGGTGTGACTTAGCTATGCCCTGTGCTCCTCTTTTTCTTTAAGTTACGATGTGATGTGATATCAATTTACTTTTTGATAGTTTGAGTCATCCCTTGAGTGTGTTTAGAAGCTAGTGAAAGATTTTGAAGCATTGGGATTTGGGAGAAAGCTGGGCATAATAACCCAAACGGGCTCCCAGAAACTAGCTAGTCCTGCAACATGACATGGTTCATGGCAAGTGATTTTAGGTTTTTGAAACTGTGTTACCAGTATAAGAGAGTAGCTTTTTTTACTCCTTTCCACGATTCATTCCAACTCTAACCTCCTCACTTGATTTTAAAAACAGGTTATTCATATTAGGATTGAGATTTCTAAAAATTTACTTAATTGTAATTATGGTTGTCAAAATTATGATTTTACTCGTAAAATCGTGTGATTTTATGATTTTATCTATGCAATTCATGTAAAATGATCGAAGTTAAAATCGAGATTCTATAAACTCAAAACAGTAAAATCATAAAATCGGATACAATCAAGATTTTACAAACATAAAAGGTTTTATGAATTTTGTGTCAAGTCATGACAAATGATCATTGCCAGTGCAATGGTATGGTTGTGTTTGTAGATTAGTTATGGGTTGAATGGTGATGGTTCAAATCTTTAGCATGTAAA